TCACATATAAAACACGGTGAGGATGGACTGAGAATATAAACTATTGATACTATTATTAGCCCTGGTTTGGATCAACTCCCAAGAGTATTTATGTGGCATACATATTTGTCATATTCATGGTGCAGATTTTTAAAATGTACATTTTAAATACTTCTTTTTAAAAAAAAATTAAAAAGTTTATTTTAAACACATTAAAAACACATTAAAATCAAACATATACATACAACAAAATATATATGTATATGTATAAATGTATAGCTGAAAGAAAAGTGATATTTTTCTTTTTTGTGTTACTTTTTGTTACATTTTAAATACTTCTAAGTTGTATATAGGTTCACATTAGTTTGTTTATCAGAGGTGCTTCTTGCAGTTTCTCCTCCCCATATTCTAAAGTTAGATGGTTTAAGTAAACTTGGCATTTTGTACATGGAATGGTCTCCCCATCCTTTTTTTATTTACATCCTTCCTTGTCTACTAAATGTAGTACTCAGAGTGCCTATCAATAAAAATAATTATGCAGATAAAAAAACTGTAATGAAAATATTAAACTCTATTAAAACATAAACTAAAACACCTCAGTATAACCGAAAAATGATTCTAATGTCTTTTTGGTATCAAGTGAACACTTTTCCATTTCAATCCTCTGCAAAATGTGGCACCTTGAAGAGCAATATATTTTTTTGTGCCATCTACGTTTTTGTGAGCCAGTTACACTTAATCGAGTGTACAAATTATTAATTCTCAGTAGTATGGCATTATGTAAAAAGAGAATTTCTGTTAGTCACATTCTGTATTTGAACTGGACTTTTTGGTGTTTTTCTTCTTTGGTTTATATTTCTATTTGCTGGAATGTTATTGTTTTTATTTATTGTAATGCCATTCTGAGACTATTTTTATTGAAAAACAGTTGTTATTCATGTTATAAATGAATAATGTAGTCCTTTTGTCATTAAAACTAGAATTTTTCTGGGTGACATGCCAAGATTTTACTATGAGGTAGTTGTTACTGAGCTGTAGTTATGTGACCTTTGTTCATAAATAATTCTTGTCAAAGTATCCTTTTGTTTTCTGTTCTTTGTTTTTCATTTTGTACAGGTTCTGCACGTAAAGCTAGTAGTTCAACAAATTGTTTTATATTTGAGTTTTACATCCTTTGCTATTGGGCTTCATGCCAAAGTTCAGTATAGAACCTGCATTGGTTGTGCTTGTGGATGACTCGTGGAGTACAGCTTGCAATCCTGGTTCTCTTTGAACTCTCTGTGACTCTCAGGATTACTGACCATGGTATCCTTCTGGACTGCCTCTGAGTGATTGAAGGGGGAGGGCATGGTTTCACATCAGTTCTCCTCCATTGTGAGAGGGCATTTCTAGTTGGTGGTAGTGAGGGAATGATAGATCTGCCCAAAGACTTCTATTTTGTGGACTGCCTTTCAAATTTGTTGTGTGTTTCTACCTGAAAGCACCAGGAAGCTAATCAGTTTTCAGGAGGCCTGAGTTGGTCAATAATGTCCTTGGGCCAATCAGACAATATTTATTTATTTAGATTTATGTGGCTGTCCATCTCATAGTGACACTGAGCAGCTAACAATGGCTGAACAAACACATGAAGTAGAAAAAGGATACCAACACACACACACACAGAGACACCCTGGAGCACATGTAGGTAGGTCCTCACTGCTTTCTGAAAGGCCAGAAGGGCTAGAGCCAATATATTCTGCGTGAGCTGCACTGGCTCCCGGTGGTCTTCTGAGTGCGCTTCAAGGTTCTGGTTATCACCTTTAAAGCGCTCCATGGCTTAGGACCTGGTTATCTACGGGACCGCCTGCTACCACCAATAGCCTCCCACCGGCCAGTATGCACCCATAGAGAGGGGCTCCTCTGGGTGCCGTCGGCCAAACAATTTCGACTGGCGGCCCCTAGGGGGAGAGCCTTCTCTGTGGGGGCACCTACGATCTGGAACGAGCTCCCCCCAGAGATACGGAGGATCCCGGATCTGCACACCTTCCGTCGCACGCTTAAGACTTTCCTATTGCATCAAGCTGGCCTGGCCTAAATCTTCTCCCCTTTTTAAATGTAAATTTTAATTTGTTTTAAATTATGGGGTATTTTAAATTCAGCCAAATTATTTAATTCATTTTTAATTCATTTTAAATTTTTGTATTTATGTGTTTTATCTCATGGCTGTTCACCGCCCTGAGTCCTTCGGGAGAAGGGCGGTATAGAAATTTAATAAAATAAATAAATAAATATTCTGTTCCAAGGGCCTGTTTTCTGGGTCCAGCAAGATGACTTTCTTAAATTGACAGACCTGTAGCATGTTTCTCCTGCTGGATATGATGGGATAGATAGAAACAATTGGGGAGAAGTGGTCCTATAGATGACTCAGTCCCATCCCATAAAGTGTCTTGTAAGTATCACCCAGCAGCAAGAATTCACGGAGAAGATGTAATAGGGGCATGCTGATGTGCACCCATAGCTAGCCACACTATCACATTTTCAGTTGTGATATTTTGGCCAAAATGGTTTTGTTTTGATTTGTGTTGTATGGCCACCAATCTCACATAAGTGACTCTTGTAAGGCTGGATTAAATCAAATGCATAAGAGGTGATGGAGGTCAATATCTGTGGACCCACCTGCTGCCAGGTATGGCATATAGAAGATTGCAACTTGAAATGTAAAAGGAATAAAAAGAGCAGGAATTACGAAGGGGGAAAATAAAGGAAAATAGATACATTGAAACGGGACTATGACATAATGAAAGATGTAATAGAGCTAATCGCTCTGATCTTCTGAATAAGGTTGGTGAATATATGCAGGGAATGAAAGTTAGAAATGTAATGATAAATATGTTGTAAAATATGAATTGGGGCCTTCTACGTTTTGCAGTGAGTGCATATGAAGGCATGAATTAATAGGTAGTTAATATTTGTATCTTAAATTGCAGTAGGTGGAGGTAATGGAAGAACCAAGGTTGAATTTGGAGAAAAATATGAAGCATTTTGAATAAATGCAATCCAAATTACTGGTTTCAAAGTATTTAATTCTTTATGGCTTCCCTTCCTTATAGAAGCCAAAGACTACCCCATAGAATCATAAAATGTTGAAAGGATCTTATAAATCATTTAGTTCATCCCCTTGCTCAGTGTAGGATTCACTAAAACATTTCTGGCAGAAGACCATCAATCTCTGTTTGAAGATCTCCAATAAAGGAGAATTTATAATTTCAACTAGTAGCCTATTTCACTGTTTGAAAACTTGCATATTTATTAAGTTCCTGTTGACATTAACCTGACATTTATAGTTTTAACTCACTCATTTGTGCTCTTGTTTTCTGGGGCAGTAGAAAATAAGTCCACGCCCTCTCTTGAATGACATCCCTTCAAATATTCTCCTCAGTCTCTCCTCATTCATTTCCTTCAAAATGGGCTGGCCTTTCCAGACTGCTTATACATGCTCATGCACACACATGCACACATACATGTTTGAAGTAAGACAACAGTATCTTTGCTTCTTTTGTTTGAAATAACCTTCCACTGGAGATGTGAATGGTCCCCTTTCTGCTGGTGTACAGGAATGTTATTAACACAGTAGAATGTTTTTATATGTCACATGAACTATAGATGCTGAGTTGGTTCATAGTTTAATTAGTATTAATTTCATGTATTTGTCTTATGAATATTTTTATTTTAATGATGTCGGCTACCAGGAGTCATTTTAGAGTATTCTGGTAACAAAGAAGAAAACAAATAAAATTTGTGTCAGGCAGGAAATTTACCACACGTCATTGGAAGATCAGAATGTTTATTACACATTTCATAACTCAAAAGCAAATGTTGATAATGTAATAGGCTTGAATTATAGAATGTTTTGCATGAAGATGGGATTGAAGGCTGGTTGTTGAATGCTGTAAATCATATACAATTGAGCTGAGGCATTTCTGAAAATAAGTGGAATATTTATTGAGCTAGGAATCAGGAAGAATATGTGATGTCCACTTAGTAGTTCAGTACATATGTAAACAAAATAAAATACAAACAGAATCTTCAATTAAAAAAGATTTGGTCTGGGATGTTAATGTAGCAGTACACTCTCACATAGAAATCCATACTGGATCGGTTAAGAATCTGAATAATTTGCAGTTATTGTTAGATTATATGATGAGAAGTATGGATCTGAAAGTGATGTATTAAACACCAGGCTGATTGTGTTTGATAGTTGAACTGGAGGGAACAATTTTACATATTGAGAAACCAATACTTGTTCTAAAACATAAAAATAAATGCTAGTAGGAGAGTAGTGGATAATATACAGTATGTAGCAAGTTCATCAAAAAAAGAAAAAATGGCTGAGTAAAGAGTGTGCTTCTGCCTACTTTGTTAAATACTAGTAAAAATTTGATATCTCAATGGAAAAATAAGAGTTCAATGCAGTGGAGATGGGGTACTTATAAAGTGTGTCCGGTAAAACAAGAAGAGATAGAGTCAAGAATGAATGGACGCTGGTTGAATATGGTTTGGAAGCAGAAGTTGTTGACTAGTGAGGATAAAGTAGGTTGAGATGGTTTGACCTTAAAAAAGAATGAATGGGGAGTGAATTCCAACACTAATAAATGAAAGCAAAGTGAATTGGTTAAAAGTAAGGAGAAATTAAGAAAACAGGCATTGGTTAGAATTGATGGGATTGTTAAAAAAAGAGAGGTAAGAAGTTTAAAGAGTATGGATTCAATGAGACCAATGATAGAATAATACAGAGAGTTAATATATTAAAACTGTTTCCTCCTTTTTTCTTATATTTTGGTCTTCAATTTCTTTTTTATTACCATTTCTTATTCTTTTATATGTACTCTGCATAAAAATTGCTGATATCAAAAGAGTATAGCATGTTGGATCTGTATATTTACCTATACGTGTGGCATTTTCAAAATAAAAGGATTAAGTTTCTTTCTGCTCTGTATCAAGAACCTAACATTTTTTCACTCTTTTTGTTTGTTTGTGTGTAGGCTAAGACCCTTGATTTCAACCCAGCTAGCCAAAAAGCTGGCCACAGAAGAGGTATGGCATTGATCTGAACTTTATTTCATTCTCGGAATCTGGAGAGATTTGTCATCACGCTTCTCCTTTCAGAGTCAGCTTCAGTTTTATGCTAAGCATATTCTAGAGCAGAAGGGCAGACTTCACATTTCAGTTTTAAATGTCTAGTGATATGATTACTCTGGATTTTGTTATACACTATCCTTTTTCCCTTTATATATCTATTTATAAACTATATTTTGGGTAAATGACAATAAACCAAAAATATAGCATAATGCAATATATCACAACAGAGTAAAATCCAAATTAATTTAACTACGCAGCATTAAACAGGCCAGCAAAGCAATTGCTCCCAAATAATCTCTGGAATTACACAATTTTGGATGGAGAGCATAATGGAAATAACAGCAGAGCAAATGGTCCAAGAAGAATGTGGATTTTCTTGGAAAAGACCTTGACTTGGGTGACTTCCAGTCAGCAACAGCAATCTGAGACTCATTCTCATGGTATTATCTTTTCTGTAAAGAAAGTCAATAAATAATCTCTAGGCTGACTAGGTGACATACTTCATTATAATTTAAAGGTAATTTCTTATGGTAATTTATATTAAATGTACATAAAAGTTACCGCAATAGCCTTTGTCACGTTTTGATTTAAATTCTGTGGTTGGAACATGGAACTACTGGTAATCTAATAGTCATTGCTTATCACTATTTTGAACTGGTATCTCTCCTCTTCCTCAAAATGGCTCATTCCTCAGTGTGAGGATGGAAGACAAAAGTAATTTTATTTTATGCATGCAACCTTTTGTTAAATTATAGACTGCTTTTAAGTACTATTGTTGTACAGAACAATAAACAATATTTATTAATTTCAAACCATAAGTAATATCTGTCTTCATTAGAATCTGTTGGTTGTTGAATATATATTTTTCCCTGCTATTGATGGGGAACTGCAGTCTGTGGAGCTCCAGAAACCATACATGGTCTTGATTCTTCTGGAGGAAACTCACAGTTGATGTCAGAACCTGCTTGCAAAATTTTCTTTCATTTTTGCATCTAACAGGGTTTTTTTTTTTCTGAGAAAGGTTTTAGGTTTTGCTCATTAGCCAGCATATAGAGAGATCAGATTCCCTGTTGGTAGTAGAGATTCTTTTGAACAATGTGATGTACCTGAGCAATGTTCTGTTGGTTTCCAAATTGCTGGTATTGTTTAATAATTGAATGTAGACTGAGCTGCTTTGAACATAAAAAGACTATTTGTACAGTATGGTTTACTCTAGAGATATCAAGACAGATGTTGAACTACAATATTCATCAGATCTGACTGTTGGCTGGAATTGAAGGCTAACACATTCTGCGTTTTCTTTTACATTAGTTGATGCTTTGTTTCATCAAGTGGTTTGCCAGTTGGTTTCAATTGCCATTCTAATTGAAACATGGCTTTCCAAAATCCCAGGCAAACTTCTTTCCTAGTCCTATTTTCTAAGATCTTTTCATACCAGGGATTGCACTTGAGATGTTTTGCATTCAAAGCTTGCATTGTTCCATTGAAAAGAGGCCCTTCTAATTAAACAGTTTGATGCAAAATTGCATAATGAGTTATTGATTCTCTTTCTAATTACAGCTGAATACTATTTAATTCATTAGAAGTTATGCATATCATTTTTAATGTTCTGCTTAAATAAAGGAGATTTCTAGCATCAGATTGCTTTGGCTAAAGCTAAATTTTTACAGAGGCTCTCTTTCTTGCATTTTTAGTTATCTTCATACCACTGCAGCCATGTTTTGAAATATCAGAATAACAAACAACAGTAATATTCCTCGGGAAACCTATAATAGCCTTGCTGCATTTGATGTCTCTCCAAATGTCTTGAATTACAATTTCCATCATTTTCCAGCCATATGGCTGTAGCTATTCTGACTGAGTAGAATTGAGTTTGTTATCCTCTACATTTACTTGGCACAAGCTTGGAAAAGACTGGGATATCACTTTCTTAGGCTGAAGCTTTGATAGAATGACAATTAAAGTGAGCAAAACAAGTTCTTAGGTGGATTTTTAAGGGAAAGGGTGAGGATTTTTAAAAATAACTTTTCTTCCTTTATAGGCAGTCTTTCCAAGTACTCAGACAGAAACTGAAAAGGTTGAAAAATCAGGAACTGTGCTGGTGGAAACTGGGCCAGTATCTTATAATCATGAGGAGGATGTGGAAGAGGAAGAAATTGAAGAGGAGGAGGATCATTGTGTGAGCGCCCTTAAACTAATGGGAGGAAACGGTAGGCTGTTTTATGTACTTTAAGACATACCCGTCCCCCCCAAAAAACCCAAAGAAGATCCCCACTCCCCAAAGAATCTATAATGGTGTCTCACATGAAAGTATCTGTGTGGCTGCTGCTTCTCGGTCTCTCACCAGCAAATTTAATAGAAAGATCCTGTGGGACTGTTCAGGTCAAATTTATTTATGTTAGTTATATTTATCATATTTAACAACTGGGATGACAGTCACAATTCAAGGTGTTGGTTATTACATTTAAAGCCCTACATGGCTCAGGGCCAGGGTATCTTCGAGACCACCTTCTACTGCATAACTCCCAATGACCGGTAAGATCCCACAGAGTTGGTCTCCTCTGGGTCCCGTCAGCCAAACAATGTAGGCTGGTGGCCCCCAGGGGGAGGGCCTTCTCTGTGGGGGCTCCCACCCTCTGGAATCAGTTGCCCCCGGAGATAAGAAGAATCCAGGACCTCAATGCCTTCCATCGTTCCCTGAAAACCTATCTTTTTCAACAAGCCGGGTTGGCTTAAGAAGAAATTTTTAAAATTTTTAAATTCTTTTAATTAGTCTGTGATTCTTAACTTTCGGGCCAAAATTTATATATATTTTTAAATGTTTTAATATTTGTATTCTATGTTTTTTATCTTGGCTGTACACCGCCCTGAGTCCTCAGGGAGAAGGGCGGTATATAAATTGGAAATTAAATTAAATTAAATTAAATTAAATATTTGCATGTCTGTATTTGCTGCAAGAAAGTAGTTTGGTTTCAAGTCCCGCAGCATGGCCAGTCACCCCAGTTCAGAGACCCTATCACCTTGAACTTTGCCAACTCTAACTCCCAGCTGATCTCATATTTTTTTCTCTCCGTGCTGCTCTTTGTGAGGCAGCTACTGGCTGTGCAAGACCTTCCCCGAGTCATGTATGTCCTTCTGTAAAGTGTGTGAGGCCTTCTGAAGCCTCACAGGATGGTCACGGACACTCAGGAAGAAGGCCTTGCCCAGCAAGTATCAGCCTTGTGAAGGATCAGGCTGAGCGCACCTTATCAGCAGGAGAAAGAAGATGACAAAGTTCAGCTAGTGCAGGGGTGTCAAACTCGTGGGCTGGATGCGTCACACACTGGCCACGCCCACTCCCGGTTTAGCGAAAGGGAAAAAAGTTGCAATATGTCATGTGACGACGAAAGTTTGACACCCCTGAGCTAGTGGAATCAGGGTAGCAGAAGCAGCAGAGTGTAGGGTGGCCAAAAGGGCAGAGGTGGGCTGGGGGAGGAGATGGGTAGGGGAGGTGAAGGGTTATAAAGGTAGGTGGGCTACCAAGTGCCCAAACTTTGATCAGATAATTGCAGGGGCCACTGCAACCACTGTAATTTTGGGAAGTAATTTTATATAGAAGGTCAATTTGGTGTAATGGTTAAAGGCACTGGATAAATAACTGGGGGACTGTGAGGTTTGCTTAAGGCACAAATCCAACTAGATGATCTTGGCCAGTCACTCTCTCTCAGCCCTGGTAAGAAGGCAGTGGCAAGCTGCTTCTGAAAATCTTGCCAAGAAAACCGCCAGAAGTAATTCAGGCCATCTCTAGAAGTAAACACTGACTCAAGCATTAAAAAAAAGTTTACCAAAAGGAAGAAATATATTTGAACACCATAAAACTAAAAGACAGCACCCAATCAGATGGGATGAAAGGAGGTTGGTAGGATTAGTTTTTGTAAGATTACATAGCTGGGTATAATAGAAAAATCTGTGAAGTAAATGACCAATATACTTAGGAATTAGTTAGCATAAATATTCCTAATAAAACCTTTTGTTAGAACCCTTTACCCCAGGGGTGTCAAACTGGATTTCTTCAAGGGCCAGATCAACATTGTAGTTCTCCTCCATGGGGTGGCGGGGGGGGCAGCGTACGGTGGCAGGACGAATGCCTCCTGCAGCACCCTGCTGGCCAAAACAGGGCATGGGGGGTCCTGCGCCTCATTTTCACCCTTCATGGCCTCCTGCAGCACTCTGCTGGCCGTTTTCAGCCTGTTTTCCGGCCGGTTTCCAGCTGGCAGAGTGCTGCAGGAGGCCATGGAGGGTGAAAACGAGGCATGGGGGAGGGGACGGCGCACACAGCCCGTTTTAGCTGCCAGAGGCACCGCAGGCTGGTCCTTTGATATTTCCAGGCCAGTTCCACGGGCTGGATATAAGCACCCCGCGAGCCGAATCCAGCCTGTGGGCCTTGAGCTTGACACCCCCCTAAAGTATATTTGATACTTTACAAGTTATAGTAATTTATTCACTTGGTGACTTAGGTGATCCACTTTTGAGCTTTGGTTCTTTTCAAGTGTTTTAGTTGACTACATTTCTATTTTATTTATTTGTAAGTTTTATACTTCCCTGCTTATTTGTTTATTACGCTGGTAGGGACTATTTCTGTGCCCTGAGTGAACTGTCTAGCTTGTGGTAGACTATCTTGTGATGATGTTACAGCATCTAATAATTTTCCTTCCTTTGTTTTTAGATTATGGCTGTGATGTGGAAGATGACGATGGGTATTAAACTTTTCTGTCTCCAAATGGAAATGGTGGGAGAAGCCACTAGTAGTAAAAACAACTCTTCCTGCCTTGGAAACAAAGGTTCTGTTTGCTGTGGATTCCTGTCAGTTTCCCTTGACCTACAGGCAGGCACTGGAGCTTGACTTTAGAATACTTGAAATGTTTCTGATTTGGATCATGACATAAGAAAGATTAACTGAAGCATCAGTTCCAGAGATGAAAGAAGAGCCAAATGGCTACCCAAACTTCCTTTGGACTTACAATGTCCTGGATTCAATAATATATATTGCTGTAAAAATGTGTACAAAGAAGAAGAATTGTTACAGAATGCTAGACTTTTGTGTGAATATATTTGAGACTTGAACTTTTTTAAAAAATAGAACATTTTTGAGTTATATTGTTTACATCAATAGGATTCTTAAAGCAGAAGTTTGTTTCTGCTATAACATCTATATTTTCATGCTTCAGAATCGTATCAAAATGGGCAGACAGCTTCCTTTGGAAACAAGTTCAAATGTATTATTTGTTTGTTTGTTAATACTATCCTAGGATCAGACCATTGCTTGCCTGTAATCTCTATGTCAGTGTAAGACAGCAGTTATATTTCTTGTTTTTAATTCCTTACAAAAAGTTGCTGTATTAGAGTGGAGACCTCATGTGTGTTGCTGTTGTTCAAAGCTTCTTTGCAAGGCAAGTTATTTTGTGTTCCAAGAAAATTAAGCTAGATCTTCCTTTAAGTTCATTGCTACTATTAGAGATGGGGCAAGCAAAGGTTAGGCTGAGGACAGAAGGAAGGAAAGCTCAACAAATTAACATCTGACACTTTTTTTTTCTGACTGAGGACCATTTCACAAGCTTTCTGTGCCCCATCCCAGGTTTTATTTTTTTTAATTTTAAAAACAAGATGATATCTCAGGGCAATTTCTGTCCTCTTGGCAGAAGTGTCAGATTTCTCTCCAAGGTAATGTCTTTGTTTTGTTTTTTAAAGTTTTTTGAACTATTTTTTTTTCTCTTTGATGCAGAGTAATTTTATATTATGTAATGATGTCATTAAGGATGTATTTATAACTCAACAGTGCAAGAGGCTCATCTATCCCTATTTTATCAGTTGATCAGTTGGTATAACTAGCACCCTGAGAAATGTAAAACAGACTAGTAGCTTCCCCACTTAAATTGTGTAAGACAGATTTTAGCTCTGGTTCCTGTGACATTTTTGTACCACTACATTTATTTGTTATTAGAAGCAGAAGCATTAATAACACTTTTCATCTTTTGTTGAACAAACGAAGTAGCTTTATGGAAAATAGTTTTTCTGTTTAAGTGAAAGACACCCGGTTTTCATGTTGATCTTTATATTAGCCAAACTACCTCTTTTTGCCAATGCTTAACTATACCAACTCAAAGTGGGATGGTGCTTTTATTTCATCCACTTGAAGAATGAAGTGGAAACCAATTTGTTTTCCTTTGTTTCCAAGACCAGGATCTCAAATGGCAAACTGTGTCTTAATTATACTGCTTCAGTTTGCAAATTGGAATTCCCATGAGGAAATGGCATTCCATGCAAATGATCCTTTCCAAATAGGCAATTTAGCATAGTAGAGAGAAATGCAGGCATTTTTTTTTTTACAGAAGCTTTCAATCAATGAACACTTCACATTTAGACTGGCATACTTGGGCCAGGTACAGATTTATCACCTTATTAAATTAAACTCAAGGTGGTTAAAGGTTAGCAATATATACAATAAGAAAAAATATGTCTAGTCCAGTGAACTATTCCTGTGTGGAGGGCACTAGTACTTGTAAAATTACAACTCTTTTTTCAATAATACTTTGTCCAGTTTTACTCTGAAAAAGATTGTTATGGTAACATAATTTATTCATTGCTAGAGGAACAAGCAAAACAAATGCTTTTTTGTAAGCACTGAATTAGGAGTTTGCCAACAATTAGCTTGAGCAGCTGCTGCTTTGCCTTATGGCAGGGATGAGAAACCTGTATCCCTCCAGAAGTTGCTGAACTACAACTTTTGGCAGTCCCAGCCAGCATGGCCAATGATGAGGGATGCTGGAGGCTGACATCCAACACCATCTGGAAGACCACAGGTTTTGCATCTCTGTCTCATGAGTTCATTTGTTTCCAAAGAGATGTTCGAAAAGAGGTAAAACCTCTGGTTGGTGACTTTACCTCCTCATTGCATTTGAGAAAATGAAAGTCTCTCTGTCAGACTTCTTAGAATAGAAATTGCTACTGCTTCAAAGAAAGTATTATGTTGGCAGAGGAAACACACACACACACACACACATAGGAAATCCATAATTTTGGAATCAGATGTAAGTTAGTAATGTTTGTGTCCCAGATCAATTTCATAATAATCACATTATAATCAGACACCCAACTATACCTATGTCATTGGGTTCTCTATGCAGCCTGGCAAGTTTCTTTTTCCAGTGTAGTTCTTCATAGCACAGATTGACCCCATGGAGTTGGCTATGCATTGTAACCAGTTCAATTACATATCTGGATTGCAAGTTACAAAACTGGAAGGGGTGGAGCAGGGGCATCATGGATAAACATGCAATAGACACTTCATAATCAGAGTCCGAGCGGATCAGGGTTGGCCATCACTGTAATTTCATTTAAGCATTTTTATTCTTGTTGGGTTGCAAAATAAGCCACAAAAGAAGTAGAATTGGGAGTAAAGTCATTCTTGTAGGGGCTTGTAATATTAAACCCTTTATCCTATTTAATTTTCTAATAAAAATGCTGTTTCAAAGAATGTTTATATATATATGCTTGTTTGCAATTTGTTCTTGGAAGCCATATCTTCCTTTTGCATCACTGTTCTGTTCTCTATCTGTCTTAACATCCAAGCCTCTCATCCTATTTTTTGGAAAGATAAAGAAACGAGAGAGCTAAGAATTGGTCTTAAATAGTTTTGCCCATTGCATACTAACATAATTGTTTAGCTGCATAATTTTCCTAAACTGAGCCAATCAATAATATTTATTCAGTCAATGACCAGCAAAAATTTAAAAGAACAAACACAGTCAAACAAATAAATACAATAATAAAGTAACATCTCACAGAATAAATCTATAAAATTCTGACATGAGCATTCATTATCTCATGTTATCACTCATCAGATTTAAATGTAATATGCAGTGCTTTTGTTGAAAAATGACAGAATAGTAAAAAGTAGTTGAGAGAAAAAGCATTTTTGTAACTTAACTATGTGTTTACAGCAAATGCAGCTGTATTCTGAATTTCATCCACTATTTGCCCACAAATAGCATTTTAATGTTGGGTCTAATAGTGTTGCAGATCCTACACTACAGAATTAAACGTACAAAAGTGAAAAGGTGGTTTTGGAAGCATTGCATTCCACTATGCCATTCAATTTGTACTTGACATTGATTTCTATCCTTTCTATTTGTTCTATCCTTCCTTGTGCTTCACAAAGACTGGAGTTATTGTAACAGCTTCTTACCTCCTATCCTCAAGCTTAATTTTCCCAAGAAGAATGAAGAAAGGGAGAAACAGCACTAAGAATCCATTCATTCGAGTACGTGGCCTGATAACTTTTGTTTAAAGCATTTTTGTTGTGCTGGAACTACAGTCTTGCTGCCTCCTACATTAATTTCTGAATCGAGCTATCTGATCTAGGGTACAAAAAATTGGACAAACGCCAGATGGCAGTAAAAGGCAGGAGTTTTTTTATCTCTCTTTGAGACCACCTTTTGGTTATTCAGATCAGGTTAACCCAGACAGGATAATCCTATATCTGTAGATGGAATGTTTGAGAGCCAGTTTGGCCTTGTGGTGAGGCTAGAAAGTGGGAGACCATGAGTTCAAGTTTGGCCTTAGCGTGAAAGCCTGCCAGGTGACTTTGGGCCAATCACTCTCAGTCCAGCCCATTTTAATTTGTTGTGGGGAAAATAGGAGGAAGGTGTGTTGGATATGTTCACCGCCATGACTGATTTGTAAAATAATAAAGATGAGATAGAAGTAAATAAAATAATAAAAAAACCCTAGACATTACATTTGCTATTTGTATGCAATACATTGCACAAATTATACTTATGATGAGCCGCGGTGGTGCAGTGATTAGAATGCAGTACTGCAGGCTACTTCTGCTGATTACCGGCTGCCAGCAGTTTGGCAGATCAAATCTCACCAGGCTCAAGGTTGACTCAGCCTTCCATCCTTCCGAGATCGGTAAAATGAGGACCCAGATTGTTGGGGGCAATATGCTGACTCTGTAAACTGTTTAGAGAGGGCTGTAAAGCACTGTAAAGTGGTATATAAGTCTAAGTGCTATTGCTATTGTGAAGCCAAATAGTTAATTATTGGTATTTTAGCAGGCAAGGAACAGAGCTGAGCCTTTTCTTTCTTGTAGAGATCCTGCTGCAAATCACTTCTTTGAAGCTCTTTATTTCCATTTGAGAGAGACCTTCACTGACACTTTTAGGACTTTTCTTTCCAATAGCAACTCTGGAATAGTGGATTTTCATCAAGATTGTAGCAAGGAAAGAAGTTAGCTTCCCCTTTCTTCCCCCTGCAATCTGAATCAGCTCTTTTTTAACCCCTTCCTAAGGGGTTAAAAGTAGATCCCAAGATCTACTACTTTGTATTTTTAAAACGTGACCAAAATGTCTTTAATCTCCTATCTAATTTTGTCTTGAATTCAGTTCTTTTTTTATAAACTGGAGATAGTAAACAGGTCACAAGGAGGCTGCCAGTTCAACTCCTCTTAGATCTATCCAGTCATGTACTGTATACTGAAGATGGCTGCTTCATGTGGCTATTCTGTGTGTGTACCCCCCCCTCTCTCTCTCTCTCTCTGTGTGTGTGTGTGTGTGTGTGTGTGTGTGCTGTTTTTGCTTCCAACTACACATGGGGGAGCAGACCATTGTTTTGTGAGGACAGAAAAATATTTGAATTTATCTTTACATATTTAAAGATATCCAACCTGCATCAAAGTTTATGATTCATTTAATTTCATAAGGTCTTTTTTTCCATAATTCATTTCTCTTTGATATAATTAAGCTCGGGGAATACACATGGATAAGCAGATGCCACTTTCTGATTCTGTGCTTGCTTAGGCAAAAACAACAACAACACGGAAAGGCAAGTGGTACTATTAACCTTCATCTGCCACTGTAATATTATGCTGAAACATTTTGTGGAATTCCCTTGAAGTAATTTGGATTATAGTCTCATTTCAGATGAAACGTAGGAGTTCAGGGACTGTTGGTTTTAAATTGTGAAATGTGTGTATCTTTCCTCCCTAGTACACATGTTTAAGGCATTCAATTAGGCAAAATATCCCAGCTGTTGAGTTGTGCTTCTGCACCCTGTAACCTTCTTCATTCTTTTGTCACTGAGCCTCCTTAATTCTTCTGTCATCTGGCAGCTCAGCCAATAGGCAGGTGGTAAGCCAGGTGTTTGCTGCATATGCCTGTTTGTAGCAAGCCCCCCCCCCTTCAGCATTTTGAAAACGATGACTCCCTGGAACCCCGACCTTCACATGAGTGGATGTCTGTACACAACCAATTAAAACTAAATTGTGTATCAAGCAATTATCCCAGGCATCCCAGGAAAATGAAAATCTAGCGTTTAGCAAACAGCACAGAGAGGACAAATATAGGTTATGGCTCAAAACATTTGCAGGTATTTGGTATTTTAATCTATATATCAAACATTCACATTTAGTATCTTATCTCCATTCTATGTGCTATTTTTCATGGAAGTTATATTCTTCAGTACAGGAAGCTTTAAGCAGGAGCACACAGCACTGGTATGAGCCACAGTGGCGCAGTGGTTAGAGTGCAGTACTGCAGGCTACTTCTGCTGACTGCCGGCTGCCTCTAATTTGGCAGTCAAATCTCACCAGGCTCAAGGTTGATTCAGCCTTCCATCCTTCCGAGGTGGGCAAAATGAGGATTCAGATTGGCGGGGGCAATATGCTGACTCTGTAAACCGCTTAGAGAAGACTGGAAAGCACTGTGAAGCAGTATATAAGTCTAAGTGCTATTGCTATTCCTACTAGTTTTAACTATATTGTTTGCATTCTCTTTAGATTGTGTGGGAGTTCATTATTTCATGCTGCTTTATGAATTGTTCATTGAAAAATATACGTATTGTCGTTGCTGTCATTTACAAGGCCATTGTCTTTAGTATACACAAATTCCAAACAATCAAAAAAGCACTGAAGGCATCCTGGATGGTTCCTGTGACTTACATCATGAACCACACTCCTATTCCTTGTTTCACACGCATGCATTATTTATAGATATTTTAAGCCATATGTTACTACATGCTCTTGCAGATCTATCAGTATTTTTTAAAAAAAAACCAAGCATTCATTTTGCTCTTCTTTTTCAAAATAAGCAACGTTATACTGAATGCAGAAAAGAAGTAAGAAATAGACAAAGAAATTCAAGATGTACAATAAGCAAAATGAAACAGGTAAAAATAAATTACAGTACATCAACACCATTAGTTATAACTGCAAGCTATCTAGCTTTGAAAATTATCCTTATTTTCATCACTTTCATCAATACACCATTTCATACAATTCTTTTATCCTTTAAAATTTCCTTTTATCCTTTAAAAATGTTCACCTCTCTGTGTAAGAATCTCATAAGCTCCAGACAGCCCCAAATTCATATTTTGGTTATTTCTATATGACAAAATCACTTCAATCACACCTCTCTTGCGCAAGCTGCACTGGCTCCCGGTGGTCTTCCAGGTGCGTTTCAAGGTACTTGTCACCATCTTCAAAGCGCTCCATGGCTTAGGACCAGGATACCTACAGGACCGCCTTCTATCACCAAATGCCTCCCACCGTCCAATATGCTCTCACAGAGAGGGCCTCCTCAGGGTGCCGTCAGCCAAGCAATGTCGGCTGGCAACCCCCAGGGGGAGAGCCTTCTCTGTGGGGGCTCCTGCCCTATGGAACGAATTGCCCCTGGATATACGAAGGATCCCCGACCTCCGTGCCTTCCATTGTGTGCTGAAGACCCTGTTATTCCAGCAAGCCGGTCTGATGGGACAATAATTTTAATCGGGTTTTTAAATATGAGTTTTTAATATGGTTTTATAAGGGTTTTAGAATGGGAATTTTACATTCGGCCAAAATTGAATTATTTTAATATGGTTTTTAAATTTGTCTTGTATATTGTTTTATTATGGCTGTTCACCACCCTGAGTCCTTCGGGAGAAGGGCGGTATAAAAATATAATAAAATCTAAAAAATCTAAAAATCAATGTATCTTTTTTTCATACTGATCACTCGTATTAGGTATCCATTCATTTATAATGTTCTTTTTGCTTTATAATGCATAATTCCATTCCCACAGTATTTAGCTTCTGTGTTTCTCTTGACATTCCCAACTCTCGCTTCCATATATAAAGTGGACAGTCATGCCTAGGAAGATCTTTGCACAAATTTATTCAAGATTGCTCAGAAGTTACAGATGGTGCAGAATGCATCTCACTAGGCCCATGTAACATCTCTACTGCAAGAACTGCACTGGTTACTAGTGAGAATCCAGTTGCAATTCAAAATTGCAATGCTGATGGTCATGACACCATACCTGGATATCTGTGGAATTGTCTTGTCTCCAGTTACCTCTACCTCTCTTATAAGATCCAATAAAGCTGGTGTACTCCCATCAATTCAACAGTGCCACCTTATAGGACTGAGGAAGCATTATTCTATATCAATACCTTTTCTATGGAAAAATTTTCCCCCTGATATTACTTTGGCTGGTC